CAAATTTGATAGAATGATGCATACTCAGTTGATGCTAAAAAAAATGGCCTAGTCCTCTTGCTTCAGCCTCCTTCTACAGTTTTTAAACTTTCCCAGAAATTACTTTCTAACAGAAGTGAATCAAACTTTATAGGAGTACTTGGGTCGAAGTCCATCACCGACTGCGGGAGGCAACCACGTAAGATTTACAAGCTGCCATCGGGTAGTCAGTGGTATAACCTATCTATCTTGACAAATAAAGTAGTATAATGGGTGCCTGAACATGTCAAAAATTAATGGCTGTTTTTGCATGAGCTGTCGGTCATAAAAGTTTCTCTTCTATGGGATCATCTTATTGCTCAACGTTCGCTTGCTCAAAGAAAAATCTCGCTACTGAGATAAATGTCAGTAGCCGGTAAGTTATACAGACATAGAGGAGTACCTGTGCGACGATGCGATTGAAGTTGGTAAACGTTGGCCGGAAGGTGGCCAGTTTCTTGCCACACACATTCATCAGGGCCTTGTTGTCCATCATCATGGCCAAACTCACATCCTCAATAGGAATTTGACAGGAAAGCATGGCATTGTAGGGCTCCACTGGTCCACAGGCCATTGTCAAACTCGGCATGATGCCCAGATCGACACAGGGGGTCTTGAAGTACTCCTCAGTTATCGCGCTCAGAAGGGCTTTGGGAGACAAACAGAAAACAAAAAACCAAGCATGTGAATGCCATATCAGCAGACCAAACTTTATATGATTGGAGAGTAGTGGATGGGGGGGGTAAGTCAATCCTCTTTGCTGCTTCGTCCGTACAAAAGACCCCGATTTGTTCTCGATGCTTGCACCGTACTTGCGCAATTTTTGCAGGTGACAATGATAAGAGACCTAGACTACCGATCAACAGGCCTCGAATTCGAGCCTGGGGTGGTTCATCGTCTGGGACTGGATGTGATTGGCTGATGACCACTAGTGAGACAGAAATGACCGTTCCAGTCGATAATTTTGTCAATAATGTTCATCGACCTACACTACGGTTGTGGGGCTGCTGGTGGCGCTCGAGTGTAAGCCCCGGGGCAGAAGGGCACGAGTGAGTTCCGGTAGCTATCATCAACGAATGAAAATGTGAATAGTATTGCCGGCAAAGACAAGGGAGACTGGAAGAGCGATTTCTGGCTTATCAGCCCTCATCAGCCAGCCATACCCTGCGAAAAGTGGCACAGCACTCGCGTCCCGAACTAGCGACTGTCTTTATGAGAATCTACCGCCCTATTCACTGAACTAGGAGCTCACTGTCTTGCCGGTTTAGGTCGAGAGATATTGATACTAGTTGGTGAAATTTCACCGAATTACAGTTCAATTAAAGTGTTAACGAAAAAGGTGTGGGAGATTAGGTCACTCAGATTTTACGGTTGAAGTCTTTTCCTGTCCTTCGAAAATCGAAATGCCCCGGAGGGTTTTGGATGTTCAAGCAGTTTCATCCTGACAGAGGAATGAAGGTTGATGGGCTAATGATAAATAGAGAGAGTGGCCTCCTTCTTCATTGATTACAATCCTTCAAATTACAGTAAGTGAAAGCTCTTAGGCGTTCCTAGTAACATTGCCAACATGAACTCACCAATGTCTTGCCAGGCGAGGACATCTGAAAAGGTGAACTGGCCACCCATAGCTTTCCTAACTGTTAAGCGTCTCAGACAAGATAGAGTTTATGTGAATAAAAATTATTTTCACCCGACCCCGTCTGATAAGACCACAGATCAGAAGACATGCACTGGTATGCATCGAGCATCACACTGTCCTCCCGGACCTTAAACGCACATGTGACTTAATGAATTTGCAAGACTGGTAAGGGATTTGTTGGCTTAACTGCAATTCCTGTTGAGAAACTTCATTGATGAGGACATGCACTACTGAAATGAAAACCTATGCATTACGTTCCATCGGCTGACAGACTGAATATGTCTTTCGGCTTCCACCATGCATACTTAAAAGGAAAAAAATATTTTCAAGGTCAAACTACTCAATTGAAAGTAAAACACCAGACCCAGTTTTATTCCGGGCTCTTTAAAGACGTATGACTAGCTAGCCTGCTCTGTCATGTTTGTGTACATCCCACAAATACTGACTTGCATGGCTATATGGCTACATGAAGGACAATATGGCAGAGATTTGAGGTTAACAGAAGCATGGGTATTTTCTCTTGTATTTAGCCTGGGAAAACCTGTTGAAAACCATATTAAAGCACTGATCCAGGCGCGTTTGTATGTGTGAATGTTGTGTTAGTTGACCGACTGGTGGACAGAGGGTCAGGCTGAAGGGACCTTTATGGCACTCTAACTCACGTGATCCGATCCAGGTGTAGAGGAATGCCTCTCAGTGAGTCCGGCTACGCCAACCGTCTGGGCGCTCTTTTGCCTACGGTCCCCCTGTAGTGACCGCTAGCGTCACTTGGAACCCATGATCAACCACAAGCGAATGCCGCCACACGCTGACTTTTTGTGCGCTCGCCTGAGCTGCCTCGCGTGCATCCTCGCCACCTGTGCTCGAGAGTCGGACCTTAGCATCAAGAGCTGAAGCCAATCAGTGTGAACCACTTCTCGATTGGCTGCAGGAACAAAGAATGTTCCGAGGCTCCTGGAAACCCCACGCGCCCACTTCACTTCAGATGCGTTGCTGCAGTGGATGGTTGTTTGCCCCTATGACAGTCAAATTACTCATGTCTTTTCTCCACTTCCTTCTTTACATAATAAACTGGTTCTGCCATTCTGGTCTTCCATAACTTTACGTCTTCTAAGGAACCGGGGCCTGAAGATCGCAGTTGCTAGAGTTTACCTCGTAAGCTGTCTGTAAGAGCAGGCCTATAGGTGGGGCAGGGGGGAGAGTGTGGTACACACAGCGCAAGTTGAATGCCATTATAATCTAT